TGAGACTACAGGCGCCGCCACCACGCTGGCTGATTTTTTGTATTTTTAGTAGAGATGGGGTTTCACTGTGTTAGCTAGGATGGTCTCGGTCTCCTGACTTCATGATCTACCCCCCTCGGCCTCCCAGCCACCGTGCCTGGACAGTTCTTTTGTTTGTAAGTCCCAGGGGCTCCTTTCCTTCAGTGTAATAAGGGTTGTGTCAAAGCCATTTGCATGTGGCAGGTTGGTATTTTCACCTCGCTTGCTGATCCTGAAACCTTGGTCTGCAGGGAGCCCCCTCCCCTGGCAGCCTGGCCTTGGAGACGCTGGCTACTGTGCCCCAGGCCGGCTTTGCTCTCTGTACTCTGGGACTGTGGATGTTACTAAGCTTTGGCTGTCTCTTGGTTTCTTGAAGACATTGGTACTTCCACAAGGTGATTGGAAGGTTGGGGAACAGTTACAAAGTATTAATCATTAATAAAAAAAGTTCTCCCTTTTTATGCTCCTTTTAAAAGGCATGAAAGAATTACTGATGTCCTTGATCAAAAAAATTATGTGGAAGAACTTAACCGGCACTTGAGGTAAGACCCCTTTTTTTTCAGTGTGAGAGTTACATGCGTGGTATACTGTCATTGTTTCATGGAACTTCTTTGAGTTGCCACATACTTATAAATAGCTTGTTTCCAAACCAAGACAAAAGGGTCATCATTCAGGCAACATTTATTTGTACAAACTGGAGAAGTATGATTTCTTCTTGATAAACTCTTGGGAAATCTTTATTCTCTGCTTTCTGCAGTTATATAATACAGAGAGGTAACTACATTAAACCTTGACTCTCCACTCCTCGCCCCACAGCCACGTGGCTGGAAATCCCTTCATGGCAAGCTCTGTTGCTGCTGGAATCAGCACACAGCACCCAGTGCATTAGGCCGGGAAAGAGAGTTGAAAACCACTGGGCTAGGCCCTCCAGAGCAATGTACTAGTGATCACAAGCATCTGTATCTTGATTTTTTTTTTTTTTTTTTTTGCTGGAGCTCTGTGGATGTGTTTCATGAAACACTAATCCTTGGAGGTATTCGTGGGGAATGTGGAGAGACACGTTAGAGGGTACATTGCACATTACAGTTCTCCACAGGGCAGCCTCTCTGGCCCCAAAAGCCAGGTGAAGAAGCTGGCATGTTCCTCCCAGTGTAGTCAGGGACATACCGCTCTGGGGCTTTTTTCACTTTTTTTTTTTTTTTTTTTTGACAGGGTCTCACTCTGTTGCCCAGGCTGAAGTGTAGCGGCGTGATCTCGGCTCACTGGAGCCTCGAATTCCCAGGCTCGGGCAATTGATTCTCCCACCTCAGCCTCCTAAGTAGCTGGGCCTACAAGCGCACGCCACGCCTCCTGGCTAGTTTCTGTGTTTTTTTATAGAGACAGCGCTTTGCCATGTTGCCCAGACTGGTCTCACCTGGGCTCAAGCAATCCTCCCACCTCAGCCACCCAAAGTGCTAGAATTACAGGCGTGAGCCACCACACCCAGCCTGCGGCTCTTCTTAACTGTGATGTTGGCTATTTTTTGAAAGTTTTTTGATCAATTCCTAGTTTATTGAGAGTATTTATAAGAAATAGATATTGAATTTTATCAAATGCCTTTTAGTGTCCATTAAAATAATCATGGTTTTTATCCCTTAGTCTACTGATGTGGTGTATTTTACTCATAGACTTCTTCATACTGGACCATTCCTGTGTCACAGGGATAAACACCACTTGATCATATGTGGTTTTTTTTTGTTTTGTTTTTGTTTTTTTTTTTTAGGCAGAGTCTCGCTTTGTTGCCCAGGCTGGAGTGCGCTGGCGCGATCTCAGCTCACTGCAAGCTCCGCCTCCCGGGTTCACGCCATTCTCCTGCCTCAGCCTCCCAGTAGCTGGGACTACAGGAGCCGCCACCATGCCCAGCTAATTTTTAGTATTTTTAGTAGAGACGGGGTTTC